ATATGAAAACGTCTATCTCTCTGTCAAAGTAGTATATCACAAACTCACAAATATACACCTGACATAATCACTTACATCTATTTATTTATCTGGGCGTTTTGCAGACATTGCCAATGCCATCACAGGAAACACGGCCAACAGGCCAAAGGAAGCAGACGGCAATTTCCGGTTTCATGACGAGAAACAAATATGTTTATTCTAATTTCTCCTACTCGTAGCAAAAGCATTGCCTATTAGTGAATAAAAATATATGTGGAATATCCATGACCTAACCTGAGGTCTGGTCTTGTTTGTATGATCAATGCTTTGTGCTCTCATGAGATATAGATATCGAGGTTTTAGCGTCATTTTACCACGTTCTTTCCAATCAAGAGGAGGGAAAACCCCACAGCTTAGATAATTACGTCTCTTGTTTCAACCACCTCCGTTTGTCAGAATTTTCACCGGCTAGTTTCCGATTAATTACCACACGTCTTTGTGATATTTTAAACGATGTTTGCCGCATATTCCTTACATCTTTTTTTATCTTGATGTGAAATAATACAATAATTACATTATAGGCCTAGACATGTCTCCTTCGAACCCTGGGTCCCCCATCTTTTTCAACATTTTTGTCACGTGATTTCGCTGATCCAATAACGTTACAGTAAATCGATCGTCCGTGCAACACAATCAAACGATCAAGTTAACGCTATTGTCGTGTTTTAAAAACTAGGAAGAAAAGTTGATATTGCAGGGTGATGATATTGTAGAGGTGTTTTTGAGTGAATAGCAATACATGAAAGTTACAGCTTTAAAGTTTTTTCCTTTCCGAGTTGAACTTAAAAGGTTCAAATAGTCAAATTTTACAATTTCAACCGTAACTAGGCCTAATGTAGTCGTATAGTTTTCAAAAGACGAGTGCCTCTCCCTCCCCTTTTTAAATAGCTGCTCTTGAAACAAGCAAAACAGATAGGATTCTCTTAATGTATACTTTTGCTTTTTCATCATCTGAGTTGAGACCTATTTTTGAGCCTAATATACATGTTAATTATCAAACAGGTGTGAAAGAAATTATGGTCCCCCTTTTAAAAGGCCCTCTCTGGCCCTGATTGTGTATAAGATAATGAGGGAAAGAGGTCATCATGTAAATCAATGGAGAGTAGGACCATAAATTAATAGGACCTCCTACCCTTTTACACCGATTTAAATTTTCAAGCAAAGCGTTGTAAAATCCAAGCCAGATGCATATATGATTGTCGCCATCGTAGTTTACAGTACCGACAACTCGCCGGCTTCTTGAAAAATGAAAATTAGAAATAACCTGTTCTGTGTTCCCTGAAGAGAGTCGCTTCGCTCACCCCCGTGTACATCGGCGCTTTTGCCACTCCCTGTACTACACAAAAGTTCTCTCTTACAAAGCTGAAAGTTTTCAAACAATGAGTCGGCGTAGTCGGCTAATTCCCAACTTTTATTCCTACGCTGTCAGACACAACATTTGATAGTTTATGTTGTTTGTAAGACAGATCCAACTCAGATTTGAAAATGCATTGATCAGTCGCAAATATACCTAGCCTATTTAATTAATGATTAACTGAAATTAATATCGAACTTCGTTCAGCTTGCATTCCTTGCTTTGGTTGCATGTCTTACTTAAAAACTTATTGAAAGGCAATAAAATAGTATTTTTATATAGGTCGTTTTGATCATACCCGTACCCAAGCTTTTACGAAAGCTAATTGAAAAGGTTTTTGAAAAACACAACATGAAATCTCAGATTTTTAAAATAGTTAAAACAAAAAATTGAGTCTGAATAAATATTTCCTTTTCATTTGCCAAAGTGGTTGTCCCGTCTTAAACTTCTACGGCCAATAAGCTTAGTCATATTAGCCCGTCGTAGCATCTCTGCGGTCACATACACAGTTAACATTCCCATACGTTACGATAAACGCACGGCGTGGAGACCGAAAAAGGATGACGATTCACTTTCATCATTGATCAAATGAACACTGTATTCATCAAATACAGTTAGTGTCTCCTTATGAGTTAGCGGTCAAGTTTCATCACTGCCAAAATGTAGTTTAAAGTTAGGAAGATCATGCGTAAAGTCATTTTTCTATATGATTCCGATCGAGATTGTTTGAGAATTTCTTTGTAGTTGCTAATGGTTGATACTGACTAGACAATATTCATGAAGATCGTCAACGTAACAAAAGCGAGGGACTGAATATGTGAATTGCGTCATCGTTAATATACCAAACATAGAACCACCTGCATATTCTCAAACTAGACCATCTTCCTTAACTTTGAGCCAAATCATTGTCCACAACTTGTCTCATAAGTGGTGTAGATTCGAGAAATAAAAATTTCTAACCGAAAACGAAGCCCGGAAGTTCTTCCATCTTGTTACGCTGACGTGTCGTCAGCGTAACTAGGTGAGTACCAGTGATCCTGCTGGTTAAGTAATTCCGTTACGTGGTATCTTGTTTATCCTGTTCGATGCAAACCCGACTCGACCAAATTACGAAACGTATCGTTTTCGGTAACAAAATGTCGGAACCTCGAAGGTACAATTTTACTTTTATCATTATTTCAAGAATTGTAGGATGAATTCCCAAGACATTTTTATCATGTTTGCGAACAGTTCAGAAGACAACAAAATCGTCGATCTAATACCTCACTTTTGTAACGTAAACGGTACTTCAAAAACGGTTGAGATCTGCACCCCTTCCTTCACGCTGTTACCAGTACTTATATTGAGTATCCGGAGATATTTCGTCATTTATTAGAAAACAGGCATGACAGTACGTGCACGGAATGGTATGAGTAAAAATAGTTTAACTGTAGTTCGAAATCACCTTCTTCATGGGCCGCCTCCTTTGCACAGGTATTCAATTTTGTTGACTGGAAACTACATGTAAAACGTACTCTAAAACTCAGAGGGTCTTAGCGTATTACACAGCTACTGTTTCTGCGCAACAAGATGATCTGCCTTCCGGTAGCAGATTTTCGAAAGACTATTGTTTCTCCCTTTCAAACCCATTTCTTGGACGATTTTCTCCATAATCGTAAGCCTATGCGTCCAGTTAGCGCATGATCTCCAGATAAAAAAATATTTGTATTCATCTACCATCATCACGAAGCGATTAATTCATAGTTTTAGTTACTTGCTTTTTAACAGGGACACCGCTCTGAAGATACATAAAACACAGAGCGACGTCGCTGTTACAAGAGAGAGGAATCGTTCGACTGAGAGGTCTAAATTGAGATTTTTTAAAAATCTGCAGCTGCTGGAAGGCAGGCCAGGTACTTGGGACATGGCAGTCAGTAAGTAGGCTTATTATTATTATGACATGTGTATATGGAAACAGGATAACGTATCCTAATTTTTCTTTGCTCTACTTTTTATGCTTTGTGTGACATTAAATAGAGATTGTAAACGCCAATTTTAAAATAATTTTCGCATCCCTCTAGATAGAAATCTTTATCTCTTGTTATAACTTAGTCAATATAGCTGCTTTTTTTATAAATAGAAGTTATACCTAGGGGGATCGTATATTGTATACCCTTTGGGTGGGCCCAGAAAAAAAAATTGGGCCCCAAAAAATCTTTGGGCCAAACAAGGCCTTCAGGCCCTAAAAAGTGGGCCTTTTTGGTCATTACTGGGCCTTTAAAGGCCTTATTTTTTAATTTCAGACCAAATTTTGAAGAAAATGGGCCTTAAAATTTCAAAATTTGGGCCCACTTTTGGATTTTAGGGGCCCAAACGGGGCCCGGACGTTGTTTTCTATCACCTGAAATTTGCCCCCCCCCCTTGTTGGTTCCTGGATCCGCCCCTGGGATGGATCGAGGGAAGGTATCATATCAACCCGATGGATATACCATGGGCTCTACCACCTGATAGCCGAGCCCATGGATATACCAAATAAACAATCCCGAATGGGGGTGATCTATTTTTATACCAACGATAATTCATAAACAAAAGACGAAATTACAAGTTAGAGACGAAACACCAAAGAAGTTCATAAAATCCCGGGAGGGAAGTGTATGGGATGTATATGGCAAAACCTTAGTATCATCATGGTATAAAAACGCTTAAAACGAAAAAAATAAGATATAAACAAACTAACCTTTTATAATATAAAATAATTCCAAGCTTATTTGTGCATCATGTGTTGGCTAATTGTAAATGCAATTCTAGTATTATTACACAGCGCCGTTATTTCGACCTGAGTAAATATAATATGCGTCATTTTTTATTACATAAGCTTATATTTAACTAAGATAAAGTGATACGGATTAGCTTATATTCGGAGTGTATTTTGTGTTGTATATACTTTTATCGTCAGATATAACCAATCCTCTATTGGATATTATCACCACACAAAAGCAATATTTGGAATCTAGAATAATATCATGGGCTTTCAAGATAGAATAATATATCGTTAAGTTTTATACGTCTCTGATTCAATACAGCATTAACCTTAAACTTTAGCTTTTTACAATTCAATATTGCAATCAACTTGTCAAACACTGTTTTGCAATTTGCTTCAGAGAGATTCTTATTCGGGGACAAGATTGCTTTAAACAAAATGGCTACTGTTTATGTGTAGCCCCCCCCCCCCTATCACACCAAACTAGTTCTTAACCATACCATACCGTTCTTTCAAGTCCTAGAAAAGTCATTCAATCTGATTGTGGTCGGGAAAATTCAATGATGGTTATCACGATAATATTGTTGGATAAAGTAACTGCGATATTCATATTCATATATCAACTTTTATGATATACATGTAATGACTGCATGTTGGTCGAAAAATATGAAAGTGAACGTAATCTGTTGACTCATTTTGTGAAATTCCTTCGGGTGTTTTATGGATATTAGAAATCCTTGAATTTTCAACAGTCAGGTTGATATAGGAACTCTAAGTAATGTTTTTCAGTATAATATTCTAAAGCAATATTCTGAATCTGAATGTCTCTCCCCACGGGCCATGTCTCCCCAGGATTATTACGCCATTATTATCACGACTTTTCGTGCAGTGGAAAATATTCGCTATAGCGAGACACAAGGTAAATAAGATGTTCTCGATAGGATATTTTAAACTTCCTGGAAGTTTTCTACGAATTCGCGAATATCTTAGTACACAACGAGCCTAAAGTAGTTTTATTGAATAAGGTATTTATGATTTTTTTATTCTATTCTCCGATTCAGGCGATTTTAATTTTATATTACAACAAATTTAGAAACAATGCAAGGCAATTTATTAAGAATTTTATTTTGCGTCAACATTCACATCTACAGGCTAAGAGACCATGGCATAAATAAAAAATAAATGAGTCAAGGATTTGCCATGTTGAAAAATTATAAAAATGTATAGTCTATAGATCAGTGGAAAAGATACGTAGGTCAACTTTTAAACCTAGTCTTGGGCCAAGGCAAGTAGCCAGGGTATTCTTCATCTGAATAATTCAGACTGTTAGTAACAATTTTGTTTTACAAATATTTATGAAGAAGGCCGAGCTGATCAAGTGGTCATGTGTTAAAAGTCAAAGTTCAAAAATTTGATCTCGTTTGGATTTCGTGAACTCAAATTACTTGAGTCTCTAGCCAATACTTGGCTAGACATGCTAGAGAGGATTTCATCTGGAATACTCACGCGGTACAAACTTTGACCGTTAATTTGAATTTTTGACCTACCAGCTGCTTGAAAATCAAGGATTGTGAGTCTCATACTGCACCGTTTTTCTTCAAACTTATACCATTAAAAGCAAAACAAAATTGCCTTTCTGTCGGTGCATTACTTTATTGTAAAGAGTCCCTCGTTCAAGCAGCGTTTTGGTCCCCAGCTGTTAGAAGGCCTTCTTACAGCTGGGGACCAAAATGCCGCTGGAAGTAGGGACTCTGATTAAGAGAATAATGTGCCATCAGAAAGGGATTTTTGTGATGCTTTGAATGGAACAAGTTTGAAGAAAAACGGTGCAGTATGAGACTCATAATCCTTGATTTTCAAACATCCGGTAGGTCAAAAATTCAAATTAACGGTCGAAGTTTGTACCGCGTGATACTGTGAACTCTATTTGAAAAAAGCTGGCCGTGGTGTCATAAATTTATTGAATATTTTAAAAATCGCCAGAAAAATAAATCTTTAATCAAACCGGACCCAGCTCGGCTCCTTGATGAGATACCACTTATTTCATCAGGATTTCGTTGTTTAAAATTAAAACAAAATGGCTCCAAGAAAAATGGCGATGTTTGAAAACTGGACGAAATCTCGTTAACGTCTGACATTAGTAACTGGCTGTAAATTCTAAGTTAGCGATCCAGAAGATGTGAACTAATACACTGATCACTTTATGTGTGTTTTGGAATTTTTGGTGAGGTAATAAGACCAAAACTCGCAATTCAAATTTTGATGTGGAAAAATGGCGGACTATGATTTCAAATTTTATGATTACGGCATGACCAGTTGTTCATGCAGGAATATATCTTTACTGGAAGGCCACTATACGGTGGCCTTAGAAGAAGGTAAGCGCGACCTACTTATTGGACACATACTGACGTTTTGGTGAGTTTGAACATTTCATTATTTTATATCAACTTGTATCCGCCTTATACAAATATTTTTGCTTCTAGTTAAAGATGAACATCCCTTCAACATTTTTACTGAATTTTCATGGTGAACATTCTTGTAATAATCGAGAAATTTATGTGCACAAAATATTGCCGAGATTTCCATGCAAAGGATATCAATCATAACAGGCTGAATCTCATTCAGTCTGTTGGATACATACTAGTAGCCAGGGGGAGCAGAGGGAGCAGCCGGAAATCTCTCAAAATCATGCAATTTTCACCATTCTGAGCACTTTTGCATGATTTTTTGTCAAAACTGTCAAAAAGGCCTGCCCCGTTGGCAAAAACTCTACCCTTGGTAAAACCGCTCCCCCCCTCAGTCATGTTAGAAAAGTCATTTTTTGTTTAAATTTAATCTAATAATACAGTGTGCTCATTTTCGTAGTTCTTGTATCTCATAACAAAGTGCCTTTCATCTTCAACACAATTATCTGAACATTTTGTACATTTGCGTTCATTTACATTTTTTATTTTTGTATATTCCTGCTACAATCTCTAATGAATGGTCAAGTGATTCTCTGTTTTATAAATAGTTTTCTTTTTTCAAAGTTATTTTCAGTCGTGATATATATGGTTATGTTCCTCAGATATCAATAATGTTCCCATACCAATCTGTAAAATTTCAATGTGTTCCCATACCAACCAAAATAAATAATGCCCCAATGCAATATCAAATATCCAGATATAACACCAAGGGCCAAGGCCATTCAAAATGCCCAGAGAAGAAGACAGATCTTTGAGGAAAAGATTACAAAATTAAGGATATGTCGCTACAAGCTTTTGTGGAATAGTGCTCATGTGTGGGTATATTTCCTCTATTGGACGGACAGCTTTAGGTTATGATACTGTTCTCTCTGTGTCTTGTTTTTTAGATTTTATAGATTTGGGTTCCGAAATGGTGAACTCATATTTCTTCCAAAATAACCAATTGCATGAAGAACTCTGCAGTACAAGCTTGCAGTAATGAGTGAACTGTATAAAATCTCTACATGTATATGAACTACACATTACACTATAATTTAGAGATATTTATGAAATAGGTAATTTTTAATGCTCAGTCAAACAATAAATATAGTATTCGAACATGACTGTATTCATAGCTTCTTCAAACTGTGAACAAAGTCAATATTTCTCGGAAATATCATTTTGGGAGTTTTCATTTTGGAATTGTAATATAGACCTCAGATCAGGTGTTATATCGACAAATAAACCCCCTAGGGCTAGGCACAAAAGCTTTTGTGCCTAGCCCTGTGAGGTTTATTCATCGATTTCTTAAATATTCACTGAGTGTTGTATATTTACAGACGTGAGGTATGATACAGTGGGAAGAAATGATCTATTCAGGGATTCCTCCTGAGCAATTCCAAACATTGACAAGTATTCTTGATGGAGGTGTACGTGGGCAGAACTGGAGGGCACTAATAGCTAATATACCTGGAAATATTTACAAGTAAGTCCAAGCTAGATTTTTCTAGCTTACTTGGTATGAAATGATGTCATCAAACTAGCATTCTTCCAGGAAATATTTGCAAGTTTAAGTCATCAAACTAGCTTTATACCAGGAAATATTTACAAGTAAGGCATCAAGCTAGCTTTTCACAAGGAAATGTTTACAAGTAAGGCATCAAGCTAGCTTTTCACCAGGAAATATTTGCAAGTTTTAGTCATCAACCTAGCTTTTCACCAGGAAATGTTTACAAGTTAGGCATCAAACTAGCTTTTCACCAGGAAATGTTTACAAGTAAGGCATCAATCTAGCTTTTCACCAGGAAATATTTGCAAGTTTTAGTCATCAAGCTAGCTTTTCACCAGGAAATATTTACAAGTAAGTTATCAAGCTAGCTTTTCACCAGGAAATATTTGCAAGTTTTAGTCATCAAGCTAGTTTTTCACCAGGAAATGTTTACAAGTAAGGCATCAAACTAGCTTTATACCAGGAAATATTAGTTAGTCATTGAGATAGCTTTATACCAGGAAATGTTTACAAGTTAGTCATCAAGCTAGGTTTTCACCAGGAAATGTTTACAAGTAAGTCATCAAGCTAGCTTTATACCAGGAAATATTAGTTAGTCATTGAGATAGCTGTATACCAGGAAATATTTACAAATAAGTTATCAAGCTAGCTTTTCACCAGGAAATATTTACAAGTTTTAGTCATCAAGCTAGCTTTTCACCAGGAAATGTTTACAAGTAAGGCATCAAGCTAGCTTTTCACAAGGAAATATTTGCAAGTTTTAGTCATCAAGCTAGCTTTTCACCAGGAAATATTTACAAGTAAGTTATCAAGCTAGCTTTTCACCAGGAAATATTTGCAAGTTTTAGTCATCAAGCTAGCTTTTCACCAGGAAATGTTTACAAGTAAGGCATCAAACTAGCTTTATACCAGGAAATATTAGTTAGTCATTGAGATAGCTTTATACCAGGAAATATTTACAAGTTAGTCATCAAGCTAGCTTTTCTCCAGGAAATATTAGTTAGTCATTGAGATAGCTGTATACCAGGAAATATTTACAAATAAGTTATCAAGCTAGCTTTTCACCAGGAAATATTTACAAGTTTTAGTCATCAAGCTAGCTTTTCACCAGGAAATGTTTACAAGTAAGACATCAAGCTAGCTTTTCACAAGGAAATATTTGCAAGTTTTAGTCATCAAGCTAGCTTTTCACCAGGAAATATGTACAAGTAAGTTATCAAGCTAGCTTTTCACCAGGAAATATTTGCAAGTTTTAGTCATCAAGCTAGCTTTTCACTAGGAAATGTTTACAAGTAAGGCATCAAACTAGCTTTATACCAGGAAATATTTACAAGTTAGTCATCAAGCTAGCTTTATACCAGGAAATATTAGTTAGTCATTGAGATAGCTGTATACCAGGAAATATTTACAAGTTAGTCATCAAACTAGCTTTTCACCAGGAAATGTTTACAAGTAAGGCATCAAACTAGCTTTATACCAGGAAATATTAGTTAGTCATTGAGATAGCTGTATACCAGGAAATATTTACAAGTTAGTCATCAAACTAGCTTTTCCCCAGGAAATGTTTACAAGTAAGGCATCAAACTAGCTTTTCACCAGGAAATATTAGTTAGTCATTGAGATAGTTGTATACCAGGAAATATTTATAAGTAAGTCATCAAGCTCACTAAATTGCCAGATAATATTTACAAGTAAGTCATGAAGATTGCTATTATAGTCTAGAAAATATTTACAAAAGTCATGAAACTTGTTCATATTCTAAATAATATTTACAAGTTAGTTATTTTCCAATGAAGATGTTAACTGTCTCTTACATGTACCTTTTCTTGCAGAATCAGAGAATGACATGCAAGAACAATTAAATATTGTAAATAGATGGTGCTATAAATGGCGACTGAATGTAAATATATCAAAAACGAAAATTATGCACTTCAGAAAAGTCAATGTTGAGAGAAGTAATTTCAAATTTCAAATTGGGAATGCCCTTGTAGAATATACAGATAAATATACGTATCTTGGTATAACATTTACTCAACATGGTAAATTTGATGAAATTGTAAGAACCTTATCAGACTCAGCTGGAAGAGCACTTGGGTCATTAATTAACAAATGTAAATGGAATAAGGATCTTGGATATAAAACATTCACTAAATTATTTAATGTATGTGTTTTGCCTGTTCTCCATTATGGAGTAGGTGTTTGGGGAGCATACGATTGTTCAACAGTTTGCAATAATGTATTTAACAGAGCTCAAAGATATTTTGCTGACTCCCTTAGAAATTGAAAAAGATCTGGAGATTATTCGAACCTTTAATAGAATGATAATGACGCCAGATAATAGAATTACCAAACAAATATTTAAATGGGATAAAACTGTAAATAGTAAATGGAGTCAAGAGCTCCAAAAATTTTTAAATAGATGTGATTGTCAAGATAATTTTGAGAATTTAGAGTATTGTTATATAGAAAAAGTCAAAAAGAAACTACTGCTTAAATATGAAACAACTTGGAATGATTTAGTACACAAGAAACCAAAATTAAGAACATATGTCAAATTCAAAACCTCATACAAAACTGAGTCATATTTATTGCTAAATTTATCTAAGTTGGAACGATCTTTAATTGCACAATTACGTATGGGAATTTTACCACTGGAAATTGAAACAGGCAGATTTAGAAATGAAAAATTGGAAAATAAAAAATGTACTTTATGTAAATCTGGCAACATTGAGGATGAGGAACATTTTATTTTTAATTGTACATTTTATAAGGAAATAAGGAAAACATATTTACAAAATCACCAAATTTTTGAAGAAACAGAATCAACTACGGATCAAAAGTTTCAGTATTTATTTGAAAAAATGCCTAGGCAAGCTGCTCATTTTGTTAAACTTTGTTATTTTAAAAGAAGAAATGCCATTTATAATGTAAATTGAATTTAACTGCATGTATGTGTCTAAGAAATTCATGCTAGTATTTTTAAAATTGTTTGTTATGAATCTAATTGTAATTTTTAACATTAGTGGTTGATAAGCCCAAGTGGGCTGGGTTGCTTTTTATTACTTTTCTTTTGTATTGTATTGTATTGCATTGTATTGAACCTACCACTGTAAATAACAATAAAACTAAACTAAACTAAACTAAACTATATGACATCATTGATGCTCTAACTTTAGGGATTATGAAGTTGAGGAATTCGCAAGGGAGTTACACCAGGGCAAGAGCCCCACGGATAGACTACTACACGACCTCTCATCCAGGCTGTATACCGTGAAAGATTTAGCACAGTTTTTGAAGAGCATGAAACATTATAGAGCCCTCGAGTTGTTAGACTACTATGGTGAGTTTTGAAGCATAGAACACTGGGTAACTTTTCATTTACTTATGACTTGAAACCCCCACTTTTTTTCTTATTTCTTATTTTTATTCTCAATTTTTTCTCATTAACTTTTCTCTCCGATCAACATTTTAAATTAATGTTTAATGATTCATCACTTTGGGAGTTTTCTTGGGGTTTGTCTGGCTAATTACTAATTACTTTTAAAATCCCCAACTCTTCTATTGCCTTTGTGAAATTATATTTATTTGAAAAAAAACATATTGTAGAGCTATAACAATTTTTTATTCAAATTCAATAGTTAATAAAACATCTGATGTTTTCACTGTCAAGTGGTAATGGATGGCAATATCAATTTACAATAAAAAATTAAGTTTATTGCATTGTCGAAAGTGGCTGTCAAAATAGATAACTCCAATGGAATGCATTATTAAAACCAGTAATCCCAAAACAGATTTAGAGTTACAGCATTCAGTTAGAAAATGTTGAGAAATTCCTCACAAATAATTCATGTTGCTGCTTTCTATCTTTTGCTTGTTAAATCTTAACAGATGTTAAACAATTTGAATCATTGAATATCTTAAGAAACTTAAGAAATTTTAACAAATTCTGACGAAAGGTGAATAGGGAGTGCCTCATCATAGGTGCCTGGTGTCCTCTCATATATTCTCTTTTCCATTTGCAATCAGATAGTGACATTTTGTAGCCCTGCATCCCTAGCAATAAGTCATTAAACATTATTTAAAATTTTGATACATTTACTGAATATACTTCACTATAGACATCTTTGAGGTTCCATGCGATACATATATTCTATATTTTGAGAAAATATCCCAAATTAGTTAAAATGTTATCACAGAGCTTGGTTCTTATTCAGTATTTTATAGTGTGTGTTTCTTTCGATTTCAGAACCACCCCGTATAGTGAAGAATATGCCCGAAACATTAGTAGGTACAGAGGATAGAACTGTCAGGCTATGTTGCCAGGTAACGGCTGTTCCCCCACCAAATTTCCAATGGTTCAAGGCTAAGCAACTGATAGATGGAGCCACAAGTGAAACTCTTATCATTGAAAATCTAAAGTGAGTAAAAGAGCACAATTTGAATACCTGATTTTATAGCATGTCCATATGCTTCAAAGATGCAGCTTCGTCACATGTGAACTCATTGATAAGTTTAGTGTTTTGACTTAATGTTTCATTTCTTGAAGAAATTCCTCACATGTTAGCTTCATACTTTAAAATTATGTCATCCATTCCTGCATCTTCTTAATCAAGGGCAAGTTTCTCAATTATAATTATATTAATTAATTATATTATCTGACTTGTATGTATCTTTGCACATAAAAGAACATTATTAAAGTTTAGAAACCAGATGTATTGATGCCTCTACTAGATTATGTTAAACTTTCAAATATTTCGGCAAAATGAATCATTTATCAATATTGAAATATCTTCCTTGTATGATGCACAATATTATAACAATTAGTATTAAGCATGAAGCATTGTACATGATAGAATTGTATAGCTAACTTAAGACTCCATTAAATTTATGAAATCTTGGGTGACTGGAAGTGGTCTATCTTTCAGAAAATATATTTTTCACACATAGCAAGCTAATCTGAACATAGTATTTCATATAATTGCACTGCATTATATAACCAATCACTGCACCCAAGGTCATTCGTTGAATGGTTGTCAAGGTGACAACTTGACTCTCCGTATTGAAATTGATGCTTTGCCAACTTGACCCTTGCAAAAAATTTAATTAAAAATATGTTCTTTTAGTGATTTCATATGTTTTAGGTGATTTCATAGAAAATATTTCGCAATGTGTGAAAAGAAATTAAACCCAAGACTTGATGCATTGTGGCTGACTCATTTCACTCAGATGTTTGCAAAGATTTAAAAACAACACCTTCAGAGGAATGATTCAGCCCACAATGCACTGAATCCAGGACTCAAATCCTCAAATACAATAATGAATAATGTGTCTCATGCTCGGTTTTTTGACAATTTTCTCCTGTAATATGTAGACAAAGAGAGTTGAAAACATTCTGTGGTGTAATATGAGCACATTGTCTGGAGTAAAATCTACTCATTTTAATTGATGTTCCTTCATATGCGGTGAAAGTTGAAAATGTTGGATAGGAAACTAAACTAGCCTTGGACCCCCACCCTCAAACTAGATTTATTTAGTATTTCAACTGACATCAATCTTTTGAAGCCTCCCCTAGACAAAATATAAAACAATGCGATACAATACAAATCAATACGATACAATACAATACAATATACATGTACAATACAATACAATAGAATACAAAACAGTACAATACAATACAATATCATGCAATATAATAAAGTACAATACAGTACAATACAATGCAATACAATACAATATAATACAATACAGTACAATACAATACAATACAATACAATGCAATACAATACAATATAATGCAATACAATACAATGCTATGCTATACAATATATAGATCATTGTCTTGATCATTGTTTTTCACAATGCAACTCGCCCCACTATTCACAACAACAGCCTTTAAACTGTGTCTGAATTTAAATGTACGAGTAGTTTACTATTATATTTACATATTTCAGGCAGACAGATGCTGGTAGCTACATATGTAGGATTGACAATGGTAAAAGAGAGACAGTTATATTCTCTAAATGGTGTAAACTGAAAATGAGTCCACCTTCTGATGAGATCCTGAACTCCTATGAAGATGGTAAGATAACATTCTTTTCCTATATACTTAGTAGTGTCCCTAACGTCCCTGGGGTAGATGTAATGTATTTCCCTCAGGATATACCCTGTATCCAAAACCTCCTGTTTAATAACCCTCATTTATTGCAGCTCAATTATAAAGTATTAACACACATCCCAATCCATGTACAATTTAACACATAGCTCAATCCATGAACAATTTAACACATGGCTCAGTCCATGCACAATTTAACACATAGCTCAATCCATGTACAATTTAACACATAGCTCAATCCATGTACAATTTAACACATAGCTCAATTCATGTACAAGTTAACACATAGCTCAATTCATGTACAATTTAACACATTGCTCAATCCATGTACAATTTAACACACATCTCAATCAATGTATAATTTAACACATAGCTCAGTTCATACACAATTTAACACATAGCTCAGTCCATACACAATTTAACACATAGCTCAATCCATGTACAATTTAACACATAGCATTGTCCATGTACAATATAAGAAACAGCTCAATCCATGTGCAATTTAACACACATCTCAATCAATGTATAATTTAACACATAGCTCAATCCATACACAATTTAACACATAGCTCAATCCTTGTACAATTTAACACACATCTCAATCAATGTATAATTTAACACATAGCTCAATCCATACACAATTTAACACATAGCTCAATCCTTGTACAATTTAACACACATCTCAATCCATGTACAATTTAACACATAGCTCAGTCCATGTAAAATTTAACACATAGCTCAATCCATGTACAATTTAACACATAGCTCAATCCATGTACAATTTAACACATAGCTCAGTCCATACACAATTTAACACATAGCTTAATCCATGTACAATTTAACACATAGCTCAATCCATGTACAATTTAACACATAGCTCAGTCCATACACAATTTAACACATAGCTCAATCCATGTACAATTTAACACATAGTTCAATCCATGTACAATTTAACACATAGCTCAATCCATGTACAATTTAACACATAGCTCAGTCCATACACAATTTAACACATAGCTCAATCCATGTACAATTTAACACATAGCTCAGTCCATACACAATTTAACACATAGCTCAGTCCATACACAATTTAACACATAGCTTAATCCATGTACAATTTAACACATAGCTCAATCCATGTACAATTTAACACATAGCTCAGTCCATACACAATTTAACACATAGCTCAGTCCATACACAATTTAACACATAGCTCAATCCATGTACAATTTAACACATAGCTCAATCCATGTACAATTTAACGCATAGCTCAGTCCATACACAATTTAACACATAGCTCAATCCATGTACAATTTAACACATAGCTCAGTCCATACACAATTTAACACATAGCTCAGTCCATACACAATTTAACACATAGCTTAATCGATGTACAATTTAACACATAGCTCAATCCATGTACAATTTAACACATAGCTCAGTCCATACACAATTTAACACATAGCTCAATCCATGTACAATTTAACACATAGCTCAATCCATGTACAATTTAACACATAGCTCAATCCATGTACAATTTAACGCATAGCTCAGTCCATACACAATTTAACACATAGCTCAATCCATGTACAATTTAACACATAGCTCAGTCCATACACAATTTAACACATAGCTCAATCCATGTACAATTTAACACATAGCTCAGTCCATACACAATTTAACACATAGCTCAGTCCATACACAATTTAACACATAGCTCAGTCCATACACAATTTAACACATAGCTTAATCCATGTACAATTTAACACATAGCTCAGTCCATACACAATTTAACACATCACTCAGTCCGTACACAATTTAACACATCACTCAGTCCATGCACAATTTAACACACATCTCAATCCATGTACAATTTAACACATAGCTCAGTCCATACACAATTTAACACACAGCTCAGTCCATACACAATTTAACACATAGCTTAATCCATGTACAATTTAACACATAGCTCAATCCATGTACAATTTAACACATAGCTCAATCCATGTACAATTTAACACACATCTCAATCCATGTACAATTTAACACATAGCTCAATCCATGTACAATTTAACACACATCTCAATCCATGTACAATTTAACACATCACTCAGTCCATACACAATTTAACACATCACTCAGTCCATGCACAATTTAACACACATCTCAATCCATGTACAATTTAACACATAGCTCAGTCCATACACAATTTAACACATAGCTCAGTCCATACACAATTTAACACATAGCTCAGTCCATACACAATTTAACACATAGCTCAATCCATGTACAATTTAACACATAGCTCAGTCCATACACAATTTAACACATAGCTCAGTCCATACACAATTTAACACATAGCTTAATCCATGTACAATTTAACACATAGCTCAATCCATGTACAATTTAACACATAGCTCAGTCCATACACAATTTAACACATAGCTCAATCCATGTACAATTTAACACATAGCTCAGTTATACCACAGATTTATGAATAAAAGGTTTTATGTTTTATTGATTCTCTGATGTCATTTAATAGTACAGTAGAGCCTGTGTAAGTGGAATGCCCTTGGGAGCACAAAAAGTGTTCCACATCAAAGGTGTTCCACTTGTAGAGGTTCGTTTACACGAAGTCAATGAGCTGCAGGACTTTAAAAACTCGTTTCCACTTGTGAGGGGTTCCACTTACAGAAATTCATTAACATGGAGTCAATGGGCTACCGGGCTGTTCCACTTGTTAGGGGTTCCACTTACAGAGGTTCATTAACATGGAGTCAATGGGCTACAGGGCTGTTTCACTTGTGAGGCGTTCAACTTACAGAGGTGTTCCACTTTGCTGTTTCTTCTGTACTTTAAAAGACATGTTTTCATTTTAATATTTGTATATAATTATCCCGATGGAGCATATTGGTGTAGATATACATAGATTTTTAAGCAGGAATAAGACCCAGGAAGTAACTAAACATCCACATTATTTCATTTGTTTAGGTACCCTTTAATTTATTGATATTTAGTTTGAAATGTTAAGCTTCTATACGCATGTCCAACAGGATGTTATGAACAGAACAACTTTGTTTTGGCATGTTGGTTATTCATTTATACATTAGATACAATGCGTCTCTTCCTCACTTGGCCTAGATGTGGATTGTGGCAATGGGTTGGGGATACATAAATTGAATTAGGAGTTTAAATGTGAATTTTGTGAAAAGTTAAAAGAGGATTGGGAAGATGTACCATTTATATGTATGTTTATGTGAGTAGAAATTCCAGGCATTTTTTTGAAACATGTAAGCTATATTTAATGTGGCTATTGTTTTTGGAATATAAGAATAAAGAGATAGCAAACACAGCCTGTATATTATTAACTTTTTTTTAATTTTTAATTTCAGCTGGGTGTCAAAATAATCCAGTTGTAATCCTGGAGAACTCTGACAGTCCTTTACCCACAATGCTTTCCCAGGCACCAGTTATCACGCAACAACCAAAATCTCAAACTGTATACATGACGCATCCATTCAATCTCATCTGTCAGGCTACAGGGTCTCCACCTATCAGCTATAAATGGTACAAAGATGGCCACCTATTGGTTGATGAGCTCACATGTCAGTTAAAGGTATACTTAAGCATATGTAATTTTCATAGATTTTTAATGTTGTTTTAATGCCAGTTTTAAGTCTCCATTTGTAAAGTGAAAAGTGGAGCCTAAGACATTTATAAAAAATAAATTTCCATAATCTATCCCCTAGTACACTTTTGAAGGAGAATCTGAAAGTTCACAGTAAATGGAAATTCTTTATGAAATTCATTTAGTTTACAACTAGACCATTCAACCAAACCCTTGTCTCAGACCCAGGTTTTATAGTGTATTTTTGGACTGTTAAGGAATACAATACAACAATGTTTTATTTCAGAGAAATGAAGCCAGGGCAGAGGATAATGGGCTATACCACTGTGATGTTTCAAACACAATTGGCCTCACTACCAGTAGAGAGGCACAGATATCAATCGAATACCAACCTGGCCAAATGGGACTTCCACAGATTTATAAACATCCTGACCCTAAGTCTATATCCATAGGGGATAAGGCTTATTTCTCCTGCAAGGCACGAGGGGCAGAGCCTCTGAGATACCAGTGGTTCAAAGCTGGCTCACATGATAATAAAATGTTAATTGGTATGTATTTTCATCTGTATTATCAGGTCATCATTTTATGAGATGTATACCCTTTGCATTCGTTTGACTTCACTTCTTAAAAGAGAGCTTCGTCTTCACTCTTTCAGTTTACAATAAATCTCCTATCTCACCGAGCCAATCAGAATTCGTCATCAAATTACGGACGACTTTCATCATTTTATGAGATGTACAGGGTGACATGATAAATGCAACACATGAATAAAGCAAAGTTATGTGCTTATGTGACACATTTTAATTTTGCATAATTTTGAATTTCTAGAAATGCGGCATCATCTATTCATCAGCGCATTATTTTTTTAAAAAGAAGGCTTTTATTTACTACCATCTGTTATTTTTGTTAGGTTCTTGGAAATATTTGTAATCCTTGTCATATTGACTTTAGTATGATAGTAAGAGGTGTAAAGTTAAAACAGGGAAAAGGGAAAATAGTCATTTGCTGTTAAGGTTGCATCAACCTTGATATTGATAAAGACCAAGGGTAAAACTATTGTGTCTTCTGCTCTTAATATTGCATTATGGGATACATTTGTGTTGTATATTACAATGATCCATATTACTTCTTTATCTTTTGAAAGTGAAGATCTAGAAGGATAGCACATTGTGAAGCATTTTCTGTTATCACTATTGGATTATGGGACATATTTTCATTGCAATGACATAAATATTACTCAGCCTTTTGAAAGGGAGGATTACGAGGACATTACTATTTTGAAGTATCTTCTGTTATCACTATTGCATTATGGGAAATATTTGCATTGTAGGTTACACTGACCCAGATATTTGTATACCCATTGAAAGTGAAGATCAGGAGGGAAGGTACTATTGTGAGGTGTCCAATGATAAATTTGGTAGAGTGCATTCAGATCAGGCGATATTGCGGGTTCTTCCAAGTAAACAGTTCACAGGTAATGACAGCATAAATCGATATCAAGCTTTTCTCTTTTTCACTTTTTGATTTATTAAGATTGTAATTACTGAATTATGTAATAATGTAATAATTATTTTTAAGATTGTAATTACTGAATTATGTAATAATGTAATAATTACTTAGGTGAAGTAAAAATTGGTCATTCATTGCTATAATCAAAACTTTATTATAGCCTTGATGTGAAATTTGCATAATCTGTCTTGGTAAACTCTCTGAAAGAAAAACTTAAGGATTCCTTGAGTATTGCCCATGGACATAATTTTGTCAAACCAGCACAATCATCGGCTTTAAATTAATTTTGTAAGGACTTTCATAACAGGGAAAATATATTGGAGATTCAAATCTCTGGGATACAATACATTTTCGTTTGAACTTTATTTATTTTTAGCTATAGATAAGGTCGCCCTCTTAATTGGCAATCTGTACTACAGGAATGGTCGACAACTGACAGCGCCAAAGTTTGACATAACAACCATGAGAAACCTCCTTGAAAAACAAAACTTCCGAGTCACATCATATTTGAATCTGACGCTCACTGAAATGGTGAATGCAATCCGCCATTTTTGTTCCACACTCGGTAAAGGAGTATACTGTAAGTATCAGGGGATGTTATAAATTGGTTGGTAGCTGTTACAAATTGTCACACCTTTCTTACCATTTAGAATAATGTATTAAGTGGTGACAAATGTCATGTTAATGAATATGTTAATGAATATTGTGTTACTTTTTAACAAGATAACAATTTGCTTAAGTGAACTTACAGAACTTTTGGGCCAAAATTTTCATATGTGAACCCCCCCTGGAAATTTTTGTAAACTGAACCCCCCTTGGCAAATCCTGGCTACGGGCCTGTACAGTATTTTACTTTTTGTCCCATTACTTTGAGACTGCTAGCCAGCATGACTCCTTGCCCCATCATACTTCAGAATGAACCAGTACATACCATTACATGAATAAACACAAGGAGCACACACGTCTCGAACTCGCAACCTCGTGGTTACGGCGCCCAATCGCCTAGCCTGTGCTGGCGCTCAAGCCCTCTCGGCCAACTCGACAGGAAGGAAAGGTGTAACATATACATATTTTCAGGTGTGTTCTACTTTGTGGGACATGGATTTGAGACTGGTGGCCAGTGTTTTCTTGCACCATCAGATGTTAGGATGAATTACACCTCAGTGGACTGTGTATGTAGCAGTTGGATTTTACACCTTATACAGCATGATATACGGAATGCTCCAGCATTGAATGTCTTCTTCCTTGATATATGCAGAGAAAGGTAAATATAATTTGTCTTCTGCTTTTGATATTGCATTATGGGAGAATACCTGTATTGAAGGTCAATGGGTTTGGGTGAGCATTTGAATGTGTTACCCAAACAAATGTATTGTATGTTAATAACCCAGTCATCCAGCATGGGTTTAAAGTCATGTTTGACACAATTAAACCTTGTTCAATGTTCTTTTATTCTGCTAGGTTTCATTGGTGTTGTATGTCCCAATGCTCATGATTTGATGGCCATTTACAAAGCATGGTGGTGACATATTGTTTCTCTATGCCACCACAACAGTCATAACAACAGTATTTGTGACCATCATAGCTTTGCCATTCTGTGTGTGCAACAAATGGTTACACTTGCAAACAGCAGGTGAAATATTTGGGATACATTCCATGTTATTGCCTTGTTTTTCTCACTGATTCCTCTGCTTTTTACATTGTTTCACTCTTCAATGAAAATATCTCTAATCTTTATGTATGCAATCTTTTCCTTACAGACATGACAGTGGTATAGATGAGATACTAATATCTCTAATCTTTATGTATGCAATCTTTTCCTTACAGACATGACAGTGGTATAGATGAGATACTAATATCTCTAATCTTTATGTATGCAATCTTTTCCTTACAGACATGACAGTGGTATAGATGAGATACTACCAGAGTATGATGTCAAGAAAACAGGCAATATGTACATATTCTATGCCACGTAAGTTATTTTCTAGTTTCTGTATTTAATGGACTCATATATCACTATTGTACTCAAATTACCTAGAGTATTGGGGATGGATAATAATGTAGACAAAAGTCAATACAGAACTGAACTTATATTGTCTCCATGTCATCCCCCATAGTAGGTATGATTAATGTTGCTGTTTGCACATACGCAGCAGGGCCGTCAGATGGGGGGGTGCGATGGGTGCGACCGCACCCCCCTTTGACACCCCCAAAAAAAAATTTGAATTTTTTTTTTTTTGAAAAATATTTTTTTTCTAATTTTTTTTCATTGACTCATACACTTTGAAAGTGCCCAGAAAGCACCAAATAGCATCTTAAAATTGTAAAATTTTCTTGGGGGAGTGGGCCACCCCTCACATCTCCTACAAAACAATTGAAAAGCTCTGAATTTATTTTATGTTTTGTCTCAGGCACTTGCCCAGACATCATCAAATATCTCCTTGATATAGTCAATGTTTCTGGGGGACTTACACTTGCTCCTCCTCTACCATCCCCACCTCACCTCATCCTCTGCCCCCCCCCCCTTATACACCCCCTCCGCCTAAAAAAATTGGAAAAAATTGTGATTTTCTCAATAATTTTTATTGACTCAAACACTTTGAAAGTGCCCAGAAAGCACCAAAAAGCATCTTAAAATTGTAAAATTTTCTAGGGGGAGTGGGCCATGCCTCACAACCCCAACAAAACAATTGTAAAGTTCTGAGTTTATTTTATGTATTGTCTCAGACACTTTTAAAGTGCCCAGACATCATCATATAGCTCCTTGATAAAGTTAATGTTTCTGGGACTAACAGTTGCTCCCCCTCTGGAATCCCCCTCCCCCTCTTGGAAGTTGCATTTGTTAATTTTAAACACTTTAAAACTACACAGAAAACACCAAGTGACATAATGAAATCATAAAAATCTCTGGCACCCTACCCCAAAAACTAAGGCATCCATTTACTCAAACACATTAAAAGTGCTCAGAATTAACCAGACAGCATCTTGAATTAGTTAAATTTTCCCTCACCCCCCTAAGAAGAAAATGATTGAAAAAATCTGAATTTCTTTAAATTGATTCGATTGATTAAAACACTTGAAAGTTTCCAGCAGAAATCACTGAATGTGATCTTGAACTGGTAAAAGTTCTCAGGTGAACATTTATGCCCTTCTAGCACACCCTCCCCGGGACTAACACTTGCCCCCTCTGGGCCCTATTCCAATGTTTCTCCTAATTGCTCATACAATATTTAGTCTAAAAACAATACAAAAACAATAAAAAACTACAAAATAAGCTGAGTGGCCCCAAATATAGGGAGTAACCGACCCCCCCCCCCCTCTTACTTACGCGATTTGATTTACGCGGCAAAAAATTGACAATTTTATATTCTCTTTACTGAGAACCGCACCCCCCTTGGAGAAAAGTGTCTTACGGGCCTGCGCAGACAACAGAAATGTTTATTCATGTATAAATGGATAAATAAGCTTGATAACTACCAGAAAATTTTTCCTAACTTTTTTAAAATGGTCCAGGCGAGACATGATCACAATACCAGAAACAAGGATTCTTATGATAAACCTAAGGTACGGACGAACTATGGCATTTCAATGTTAACTTTCACGACACCAACAATTTGGAATCGATTACCAAACAAGATTAAATCTTCTCGAAGTGTTCCCATCATGAAAAGAGAACTGAAAAAGTACTTTGTCAATAATTGAATATCATTCGTATACTTTATATTTTGGGCTCTATGACACACCATTCACTTACCACCCATTACAAGCATTTGCACACAAACAGATCCCCCTCTGTTTCTATGTAGGCAACTTACCATCCTGTCGGGAATATACACAATTTGTGTCACCCGCTCATTGCATGTATTTCAAAACTTAGCTTACTGAATAAATAAATAATAATAAAAATAATAATATGCACCTTTGCATATACATGTAGAAGTACAAGACTCTTGGACTCTAGACCATTTTACTGGATTTGAACCTGTTATCTGCTATTTTCAACAATTGTGTTTTGGTAGAAAAGTAATGAAAATATTTTCCCAACCTGGGGACAGGATTGTGAAAATTTGATTTTTGCACCCATATTTGGAACTAGGGAGAGCACTGCTTATTCTCAATGCACATAAGTTTAATAAATAAAGAAGAAGAAAGAGGGGGCATGCATTTTCATAAAATACAACAATTTTGACCCATGCTCCCAATAAGTAAAATATAAAAGAAAATTTGTAGGAGTAAGGGCTATAAGGCTAACGAGTATACATATATTTGTAGGAGTAAGGGCTATAAGGCTTATGAGTATACATGTATTTGTAGGAGTAAGGGCTATAAGGCTAACGAGTATACATATATTTGTAGGAGTAAGGGCTATAAGGCTAACGGGTATACATATATTTGTAGGAGTAAGGGCTATAAGGCTTATGAGTATACATGTATTTGTAGGAGTAAGGGCTATAAGGCTAACGGGTATACATATATTTGTAGGAGTAAGGGCTATAAGGCTAACGAGTATACATATATTTGTAGGAGTAAGGGCTATAAGGCTAACGAGTATACATATATTTGTAGGAGTAAGGGCTATAAGGCTTATGAGTATACATATATTTGTAGGAGTAAGGGCTATAAGGCTAACGGGTATACATATATTTGTAGGAGTAAGGGCTATAAGGCTAACGGGTATACATATATTTGTAGGAGTAAGGGCTATAAGGCTAACGAGTATACATATATTTGTAGGAGTAAGGGCTATAAGGCTAACGAGTATACATATATTTGTAGGAGTAAGGGCTATAAGGCTTATGAGTATACATGTATTTGTAGGAGTAAGGGCTATAAGGCTAACGGGTATACATATATTTGTAGGAGTAAGGGCTATAAGGCTAACGAGTATACATATATTTGTAGGAGTAAGTGCTATAAGGCTAACGAGTATACATATATTTGTAGGAGTAAGGGCTATAAGGCTTATGAGTATACATATATTTGTAGGAGTAAGGGCTATAAGGCTTATGAGTAACATGTATTTGTAGGAGTAAGGGCTATAAGGCTAACGAGTATACATATATTTGTAGGAGTAAGGGCTATAAGGCTTATGAGTATACATGTATTTGTAGGAGTAAGGGCTATAAGGCTAACGAGTATACATATATTTGTAGGAGTAAGGGCTATAAGGCTTATGAGTATACATGTATTTGTAGGAGTAAGGGCTATAAGGCTAACGGGTATACATATATTTGTAGGAGTAAGGGCTATAAGGCTAACGAGTATACATATATTTGTAGGAGTAAGGGCTATAAGGCTAACGAGTATACATATATTTGTAGGAGTAAGGGCTATAAGGCTAACGAGTATACATATATTTGTAGGAGTAAGGGCTATAAGGCTAACGAGTATACATATATTTGTAGGAGTAAGGGCTATAAGGCTAACGAGTACACATATATTTGTAGGAGTAAGGGCTATAAGGCTTATGAGCACAAAGGAAGGGAAACACCACTTGGGAAAACTTTGCCTGCCGGAATTTTTGTAGAAAATCTGGAGATGGCCATGACTAAACCAAGGAGCCTGGATGATATATACAGAAAACTGCAAGAAGGTGAGTTTAATACCTTCTGATATGAAGTGAGGGGAATTGGGGGGGAGGTTGAGCACCCCTGGCCAAAAATCATGCAGATTTTCACTATTTTGGCACTTTAGAATTGCTTTTGGCCTAAAATTGTCAAATTTGAACTGCCCCCCTCCCCTGGTAATTAAAAAACTGAAACCCTCCATGGCAAAAACTGGGTTTTCCGTAATTTGACCAAGAATGGGGAAAGGATGTCTTTTAGGGCATTATGGTTTTTGTGGATTCATGATATTTCAATTTTTTCTGGGGGCATACCCCAGACCCCCATTTTCAATTCTTTTCTGGGGGGTCCTAGCTTGTGGCACTCTGCACCGTCATCACTTTGTGTGGACGCATTGGCGCCAAAACCGACGGGCCTGTTATCAAGAGGCTGGGTTGTCTCTATAATCATGGAGATTTTCCACCAAATTTAAAATTTACACTGTAGCCTATTGATATTAAGTAATACCTGGCAATCTTCTAATTATGACTAAAGGAAAAAAATTAAAGATTAAACTTCAAACTAAATCAATAGAGCCTTTAATAAAAAACAAACCAATACTTAAAATCTTTAAATCATAAACTGATGTCTCTATTGCATATTTTGATATTTCAGGTATTGCTAAAGATCAAAGTTGTCGGAACATTATGTTTCCCGAGGTAACCAAAGACTTGTCTCAGAGAAGAACATTATGGGATCCTATATGTAAATCTGAAGACCTGCAGACTCACTTTTCCAGACTTTCATTGATTCAGCAGTTTAAAGATATGCATCGTAAGTTACATTTTAGTAAACTATTGAGGGGAGGCATCAAAAGTTCGATGTCGGATCGGAAACTAAATAAATCTAGTTTTGACTCTGACCCCCCCTCCCCCAAAAACTAAATACCATGAAAGTTGATCGCTGACTTCCAGTTTGAGAATTTGAAAAATTATTGCCAAACACGCTCTAGTTTTTGTTAATTCCTATCGTAATTTGCGGCTTTTAACAACTATTGATAGAATAGAATCCATTGGAATGATCTTGACGAAGAAAGCATCAGGTAAAATCTTTTAATAACCATTCCAAGGCATTCTGAGTCGAAATTGCCCAAAATTTGAAATGTTGAAATTTGTCAGATAGCAAACTGAAATGGGTTTGAACCCCCTCCCCCTAACTAGATTTATTTAGTTTTCTATCCGACATTGAACTTTTGATGCCTCCCCTAAGCTTCACATTTAACAAAACATGCAATAGAACAAATCTCTCTTTTGGTTGTATTAACCTATTTATACCTGCGTATGTTATTTCAGAGCCTCCTGATATTTTATGTTGCACTCTTCCTGATGTTGGAGTAGAAATACAGGTATGGTTTATCACTTTAAAAATACATTTTGTGAGGCCTTGGAAAATTGTCAACATTTAGAACACACATGAATCTAAAAATGTAAATGTAAATTCAAGATTCTAAAAATATGTAAATTGTTAAAACACTAGTCTTCTTTCATCAAGCCAATATTGCTGCATGTATCAGTGTACGAGGGTTGTCTCAGAAGTAATGCATTACATATTACATATAGTGCATTGTTTCTTGGACAACCCTCGTATAGTCTACACCAGTACCTTCCAGTCTTTCTGAGGAATTTCGTCATGTTCAGGCTCATAGATTGAGGGATATAATAGAATATTATAACACCAAATAATTGCACTTTGAATTGCTAAAATATTCTGATTGCATATTCCATTTGCATTGTCAAGGCCCTATGTCAGACAAAATGAGTGACGTGGAGAAATCATCTCCTCCTCAATGTAACTGATTTTGTCCTATTTACGGCCATGATTATACATATTATAGGTGAAATGTACCAGCCCAGTGTTGTTTTCAAATGTGTTGGAGATAATAGTGGATACACACGACACCCCTGATGCTTCTAACTGTAGATCTTGGGTCACAGATGTCCCTGTGGTAGGTCCATGTTTCTTTTTTCTTGGCTTGTTGAAAATTATTTAAATCCCCCATCCTTGTTATAATTTGCAAATGTCACAGATGATAATGATTTATATGACACCATTGTACATCTGACTGTAGAGCTTGGGTTACAAATGTCCCTACAATGGAAGGTTCTTGTTTTTCTTGCCCCCCCCCCCTCTTTCAAAGGTCACAGATGATAGTGGATTATAGGTTTATGTAAATTAAAATGCACCTATTTATTAAAGTGACATAATGTATAATACTATTGTTTTCCAGCATGTCTCTGTTGAGGGAGGAGAATCTACTGTGCTGTATCACCCTCCGCACAGTGTCACAATTACTTGCATAAATGACATTCAAAAACTTAAGGTAACAAAACAGTTGCTTTATATAGATAGATCAATAGATGGCAGGAGTAACTTGATCACGCTAGGTTGATTTACATATAGAATACATACAACTAATTAAAGTCATTTAATTTGTAGACAGCAAGATGGTCCTGTTAAATTTCAGATTGTGGCTTAACTTTAAGATTGTGTCTATTAAAACCTTTACCATAAAACAAAAATCCCATAAGTTAAACAAAGATTTTATTTGTCCCTAGACTAGCAACTTATACTTTTTTTTATCTTAAAGGTGTGTTGAAGGGGCTAATAACAAAATCATATATATATTTTTTTTCCAGGGAGATCTTAATATTGGAGTCATGGTTACATACGTAAACAGAAATGGAGAAACTAAGGAAATTAAGGTGCCTATGAATCTTGGACGCCCTCTAGTGTCAGTCTTGGAACTTTGGCGCAATGGAGAAGAGCAAATTAAAGAGCAAGTGGGAGGGGGACAGCAGGCTGTTGAAAATGATGAACATAACCTAATGCCAGCTGTTTCTCTGCTCTCTGATGCCCTGAATAAACAGTCACTGTGAGGGGCCAGTGTAACTATAACTATGCCCTAGTATTTATTATGGTGATATTGTTATAATCTCCAACTTTTTTGTGGCAGCAGTTGTTGTTTGGAGGTTGGTTTTCAGAGTTTTGCGTTCTACATCTGTAACAAATGGCAGGTGGTGACATTTTGCATGTTAATGCCTTGTTTTTCCCATTCTTTAATGGGCCCATATTGGCCCTGTTTGTTAGGTGTATACAGCTGTGTAACAGCTGCAATTTGGTCACCACTGGACTGGAATGGAGGTTGCTGATTGGATATAAACTGAGAGGGAAAATAGATGGACCATAAGTGGCTAGTTTTAGCCAAATGTTTTCACATATGTTCTTGAGGGAGATATCTTTTAATTGAAAGAAATACAATCAGAAAAATAAAATTGCCATCAAGATATCAATGGAGTTTCATCAATCTATTTTAAGTGTACTGTTTTAGTGCCACCACCAAGAAGTTTTGATGTTAGATGCATCATTTTTGTGATTTTTCATCTGTACAAATTGTTATTTTTGTTAACATTTGTAATAATGACATAATAATATTTTAATCAATCTGCTTTGTTAACAAATGTGGATGGGTAGTCTAGCCATTGTGGAAATGAATTGTGTGTAGGATAAAACTAGCTCTTGATCATGTTATATACTTTTGTGTAGTATAGGATTTGTGAGATTCTTGCATCCGGGACAGCCAAATACAAATTAGGATTCTGAATATGTGCTTTATATGATAACTTAGTGCAATTAAGGGATGTTTGTAATTGTTACAGTAAATAGTAGAAATATATTCTATATACATACTACTTTTATTTTTCAATGAAAAAATATGTGATTTTTTGTTTCACCATTTCAATGATTTTCATTAAAGGGGCAACAAGGTCTGTAGAGAAAAAATTTGAAATTTTTTACTTTTTCTGAGCTATCAGGGCAACATTTGGCATACCTATTTTCTTGAAATGTATGGATAAACTATCTATTTCAGCATTAAGAAGTGTGAATTCAGTTCAAAGCTTCTATAAAGGGAGTCCCACTTAAAGATTTTTAACTTCCATCATGCTTCAAGAGGAATATCAGCTGAAATGATGTTCATCCAGGGGGTTTCTTTGGAGAAAATAAAAATATATGCCAGTCTTGATGAAATATCCAAACTTGAATATATTTTGACACTGGTTCATGATCGTTGAATGGCCCCTCTGCACTAATTGTTGCACCTTTAAATTAAGTCTGTACTGTATATGCCTTATTCATTCTTTAGGTAAGATCTCTCACAAGCTCATGGTTGGTTGTAAGAATATCCCCTCTTATATTGATTTGTGGCACCCAACTCAAAGAGGGAATTCACCCAGGTGCTTAGACTGATCTATCTTTCATGCTTGAACATGCTTGAAAATCCATTTCAAAGATTCCATAACTTGCTATTATAGGTCTAGTCAAAAGCCATTCTGATGTTAGAATGTTAAAAAATCATAAAAAATGTACAAAGCAGGCCTTTGTAATTTTCTTTAATGAACTCATTCGATTATTGGCTTGCAATTAGCATAATATTCTGTATGCATAGTGTAGACAGTGTACATAACTACATGCATTCAATCTTGAATCTTTCACTTTTCTTCATGGCCTATTTTGAGTTTACTCGAGGAAAGTTGTTTCTAGTCTCTGCTTAATTTATAATAATAGAGTAGTTCGAAATAAGCAAAATTAAATTACATGTACTACAGGGTGTTTCATAGTATGCAACCCTCCCCCCCCCCCATAAACTCATACATGTTGCATTGCCATCCTATCATCTTATATATCATTTTGTTCCTTGTGGAAAGTTACATAAGATTGCAAAGTTTCAGAAACCAGTGGTGCCCGTGAAAAAAGTTACAAGGTATCAAAGTATGTGGGTACGGGTCATTTCAAGGGGAATTTCTGGTAGTTTCGAGGGCAATTTTTAGGAAAAATTTAGTTTCTGTATTGCAAATTTCTAGCAGTTGTCATCATGGCAGAGTTCAGTGCACAGGGGTGTGATAGTTATGCACAAAGATATAGATAGGATTCATGCAGTGGCTTATAGGGAGGTTAGGGACCCTGGTGCTATCTCTATCACTAAATATGGGTATGAGAAAAGTGAACAGATCACCGGACTGAGTCAAAAAATGACCTGAAGTTACCCTATAATTGACCCCATACCCACAAACCTTGATACATTGTATCTTTTCTCAGGTAAACCCCTTGATTCTGAAACTTTGCAATTTTATGTAACTTTCAATAAGTAACAAAATGATATATAACATGATATGTTAGCAATGCTACATGTATGAGTTTATGAGGGGTGCATACATATGTAACACCCTGTACATTAACTTACAATAACATGCTTAAACAACAAAATACAAGAAACATAGATTTCTTAGCAGAATGTTTTATTTTATATTTTCTCATCATTACATGTATATTATATGTAGATATATATTTTTACAATTCATATGTTAAAAATAAAATATTGCAATATTTTAGTCGGGATGGTGTCCAAATATCAACAGATATGGAAAAGTGAATTAACCTTGTCACTGGCAGATCTGGAGGGGGGGCTGGGGCCCGGGGGTGGGCCCAAAAAAAAATTGGGTCCAAAAAATTTGGGGGGAAAACAGGCCTTAATTTTTGGTCATTATTGGGTCTTTTAAGGATTTATTTTTTAATTTCAAGTCAAATTTTGGTGAAAATGGGCCTCAAATTTCAAAAGGACGATTCTCGGTTTGGAGAACTAAGTTCATCAATCTAAATGAGCATTATCCCTGCTTCGGACATATTTGATTTTTTTACATAACATAAATTTGAATGTCTTCTTTTGAATAGTCATAATTTAATTTGGGTAATATTTCTAGATTTTTCGCAAAAAAAATATTAGCGCAGTACACTGATGAACTTCTTTCCCCAAATCGAGACTTGTATTTTATTGAATCGGTCTAATTGAGCGTTATCCCTGCTTCAGACCTATTTGTTATTTTTACATCTTGTAGATTTAAATGTCCTCTTTTGAATATTCATAGTTTAATTTGGGTAATATTTCTATATTTTTCATTAAAAAAATCATTAGCCCAGGAGACTGTTCTCCAAACCGAGAATCGTCCTTTGGGCCAACTTTTGGGTTTTAGGGGCCCAAATTTTTTTTCTCTGACCTGAAATTTGCCCCCCCCCCCCTTGTTGGTTCCCAGATCTGCCCCTGCTTGTTATAGTTTGAAACCCCCTTTCTTCCCTACTGAGTTAATACACGATTATTAACTAGGCCCAAAAAACAATATTTTACACTTAATGACCTTCCACTAACAAACTTATTTCATTCTTCCACAATGTTGACATATTTGGTCACCATCCTTAAGTGATGTCATGATATTATTGTATAATTGAGCATCGCTATTTATACAGCTTTAAAATGATAAATATAGTCAATAAATACAAAAATGTTGATTATAACACAATTTGCTTTTGTTACTTGTAAATTATAAATAATGTACAATTACAGTGGTGTATCCTAGATGTAAAATATGTGAAGCAAATTTTAATTACTTCCACTATCAATGGACAACTATAACAATATTTTCTGAAAATATCAAAGCTTATACATCATTCTAATATGATATGTGACATCACAATAGCTAGAACAATTGATTTACTAATCTATATTGGAGTATGTATGACTAGTACTAGACCTTTAAAATTCATAAATAGTTGTTTTTTGTCTGTTTATCCACAGACCTGAAGAAAGTCTGTGGTTTATCATATTAGAATCGTAACAGAGGCCTTGATTTCATAATTTATGGCAAATATTGACCTCATATTTTATTCTGGCCATTGTCAAGGACCTCAATTGCTATGTGATTTGGGTATTTTAACTGGGCTTTTAACAATGAACAGAATAAAATATTTGATCATATATTGTGCCATAATCATAAAATCTTGGTCTTTAAATGTTAAAAGTTCACAAATCTATCAGGCAAGTGCCACATAACATTTTTAAGGCATTTTTTCAAACCATCATATCAACAAAAATGAAGTGTTATCAAAATCTATTGATGGTGTAAGTTTCAGATCAATTTTAAAAATTAGTATTTAAGATTCATACCTATATCTACTTTCTAATATATTTTCCAAAAAGCATGAGTTAAATATGGATTAAAATATTCATTCGGCCTGTAAAATTGCTGAGGGTCTTAAAAATCATGTACTGGTTGTACAAACAAAACATACATTTGATATGTTACAAATCAAGGCTTCATCATACATGTACATAATTAAAAATCAAAACACTGTTAAAGTTATGAAGAAATGACTCGTCCACTAATATTGCTTTCTGGACTACCTCCAGCAAATAAAATGTTGAGGAATAATAGGCTAGAGGGAACTTGGACAAAAGGCCCTAAAATCAAAAGTTTATTGTACACTCTCCACAACGACATGTGTTTGGTACCAAATGAAAGCTAAGGTCCCATGTTTTCATGATTCACTTGTTCTAATATCAAATTGTGGTATAGCTTTTGTCTAAAACGCCTGTTTCCATAGTAACCACAAAAATATTGTGTTAATAAGCAGAAAATGCTTTTTAAACATAACTCTAACCATTTAACTCCGATTTTCACGAAATTGGTATCATATTGAAGCAAATAAAAAGCTCTATGTTTATAAATTATATTTATGCAAATTAGATCATTTGCATATTGATTGTGACGTCATAACTGTATTATTTTGTGTATTTTTAGATAAATGAGTATATTTAGTTTCCGTACAGTAATATACGGTAAGGAAATATGAATTAATTTGTTATCGTTGGAATGCTTATGGTGTCTACTTTTGAGATCCACCTGTTATCAATTAAGAAACTTAGGCAGAGTATGTCTAAAATATCCTTTCCCATCAAAGCAACTGAAAAATATGGTGGTAAAATATGCACAATTGAACACACGGAGCTCATGTGTCACAGAAAATGTTTTTACGCTAACTCCACTTGTATTACTTCGATTTTGACAAAATTGGTATCGTATTAAAGATAATAAAAGTATCTATTTTGATAAATTATATTTATGCAAATTAGCTCATTTGCATATTGGTTGTGACGTCATAATTATATTATTTTGTGTATTTTTAAACAT